AATATTTTGCAAATGTAATTAGGACCCAAATCAGATGATTTTAAGTTAATAAAAAAATGGGTGGAACTGACTTCATCAAGTGAGTGTGAACAGCAGCCATCTTGGCAGATTGTGAGGCTGGCTTTGAGCAGTTACTTGAACTGCTGATGTGTTTCTATTTAAAATCAATGATTTGTGTAAAACACTGTAAATTTACCATGGTTTTGTATATTTAAAATCTTGGTTCTCCCCCTATATTTAAGCATGTATAAAATTAAAGGCTAACTATCTGCCAATACATAAGTAAATAAGAGTGAAAGCAATGGCGGATTCTTTTGCTAACCTTGAAGAAGCTGCCATGCTGCATCAGAGCCCATGAGCAGGCCCCATGGCAAGGGAGGTGGGCGGCCTGGGCTGATGGCTTATGCAGAAACAGGGACCTCCATCCTGAAACTGCTAAGCACTGAGTTGTGCCAAAAGCCAAATGGGCTTTGAGAAAGGTTTACAAAGGTTCACAAAGGACCAGCCCAGTCCACAACCTGATTTCAGCCTTCCAGACCCCAAGCAGAGGGTCCCCATAAACTGTGGCCAGATAGGGTCCTGTTCCATGGAAATGATGAGATAATACCCATGTGCTGTGTTAAGCCACTTAGTTTGGGGTAATTTGTTATACAACCATAGAAAACAAACATAGACATGAAGTTATTTTCTTACACTGACTAATTTCCTTATGGCCCGAGTGAGATTTCACTTCCTTCCTGGAGCTTTTCCTGACAAAGTTCTGTGTCTTCTCTGAAATCCAACATTTTTTTTTTGGCATCTAATCCTACATTTTATTATTTCATGTTTCATCCATGTAAATTTTGTCTTCTTGGAGATATATCTCTATGAAGGCACATATGCTTGTTTCCCCCTCTCAAAAAAATTCATGGGTTAAAATCCTAGCCCCAAGGTAATAGTGTTAGAAGGTGAGGACATTAGGAGGTGTTAGGTCATGAGGGCAGAACCCTCACGAATGGTATTAGTGCCCTCCTAAGAGAGACCCCAGAGATCAGCTATCCCTTCTTCCAAGTGAAGGTATAGTAAAAAACAAACAAACAAACAAACAAAACCCTGCCAGAGAGTGGTTGCTCACCAGACATTAAATCTGCCAGCACCTGAATCTGGGACTTTCCATCTAGGACTGTGAGCAACAAACCCATCTCAAGAATTTGTTGTAACAACCTGAGCAGACTAAGATGCCTGCATCTGCCTACTCATGCATATAGTAAATACCAGTTAGTTATTTCTTCTAAACCAATGAATCACTACATGTTCCTATTTCTTTTCTTTTCTTCTTTTCATGGTTTTTTGCTCTTCCAAGATGAATTTCATAGCCAGCCATGGAAATCTGCCTAATTCAAACAGCAGCAAAGGTTAATCTGAGTCAGCAAATGAAAAAAAATATTTCTGATGAAACAAAATTCTTTTAAATACTCTATAAGCCATAAAGATAAATAATGTCTATTAGCAGTCTCCAAAAAGATCATGATGTGAGAATGTGTGTATGATCTTAAAAGAAATGGTTTAACACCAATTTCTAATTTTTATCACAACCACCTTGAAAGAAATGGCATTCAAATTAACAAAACTTAACTTTGCAATATGAATTATCAAAATCCATGGAATTTTTAATGACTCTCCATTCACAGAACACATCCTTTTCATGAATGCACTTTCACTTTACTTATCCATCCAATAATTCAGATTGCTTTCTTGCTGTTCATTAGATACTTCTCCCAGAATGTACAAAGATAAGTATGAGGAGCTCACAGTCTAGTGGGAAATGTAACCAAACTTGGAACATACTATAGTAAATATGGTGATGTGAGTACCAATGATGCTCTGGACTGGACCTTGTTTACTACAGAAGGCAGGTGAACATGCGTGGGAACTACTACCAGGTGTACAAAGAATAACAAAGGTTTTGGATTTCAAGTGCTGCCTGTAGGCATTATGCAGTGTGCAAATTTAATATGCTTTTAAATCTTAGTTCAGTCGATTCTGGATTATCTAGGGAATAAATTAGCAGTTTCTGGGTTAGCTAGAGCACAGAACAATAACCCATAGGCATTGTGGGAAAGAATATACGTAACTATAAAATCAGCCTAAATATCATCTCTTTGATGCCTTTGTTGTTTGGCTATGACAGTCAACAACTGCAAGCCCTTTGCTGTGGAGAGAGCCAACCCCCTCACTGATCAGCTGAGTATGCCCCAGAGTGCCAACTTCTGCTGAAGCTCTGGAGGACCTCCTGGGATAGTGGATTCCAATACCCCAATATCAAACCTGCACCAGTGCAGGAGACAGGTAAAGAAGGGAAGGGAAGGGAAGGGAAGGGAAGGGAAGGGAAGGGGAGGAAGGGTGATGCAGGATTGGTCTCTGTCCAGCTGTCTTTCATAATCATAAATAGAGGGCCAAGAAACAGACAACAGAGTGGACTGTCAGAGCCTTGTTACCTTACAGGAACATATACATGAAATTGAGTATCCTCAGCAACCTTGTAGTGTTGTTTTTATTTTCAGATGTCTTTGAAGAAAATTAGCTGCAATCTTAACGAAATATACCTAAATTAAAATGACTTTACATTTCAATTCCACTCTTTTTAACAGTAAGTTAGCAATGAGTTAGTAGTAAGTTAAGTTAGTAAAGAGGTACTCCCTTATGAATGAGGAACTCTCAAATCTGAGGTAAATCAGGCTTAGGAGGCTGAAGCAGGAGGATCACAAGTTCAAAGCCAGCTTCAGCAAAAGTGAGGTGCCAAGCATCTCAGTGAGACCCTGTCTCTAAATAAAATACAAAATAGGGCTGGGGATGTGGCTCAGTGGTCAAGTGCTCCTGAGTTCAATCCTCTGTATCAAAAAAAAAAAAAAAAATCTGAGATAATACATTCAAACTTTATAAATTATAAAAGGCTACACAATCTATTATTACTAGTACCACCACAGTAGGTGCAGCAGCCAGCAGGTCCTTTTAAAAGAAGTATACAGTGAAAGCAATAAATAAAGTGCTTGAAAACATATAATAAAATATTTGTGAGTTTTGTAGGCTTTTTAGGTAGATGTACATGTGTTATTTTCTCTTCTCTGTTAAAACAGTAAGGCCTTAGTACTCAACAATCTCGGTCTTTTTACAACACTATTAAATTTTCCAAGGGCTTTGATACCTTTTGAACAATGTGATCATCACAGACCTATTAAATAAAGCAGGTATTGTGAACCCTGGTTTACACTCAAAAACATTTAGACAAGGTGGTTAGGTGAATATTAGTTGCTGAAACCATGTGTATTTATAATGCCAGTAATGACATGGATATATCAAAAGTCTCTGAAACTCAAGATGTATACCACTTATCATGTTATCATTTTAATTATATGATTATTAGCCACTTAGAATACTGATATGTTTACTCTTTCTTAATTACGTTTTTCCAACCATGTCAACAAAATTTAGAGAGAAGGAGTTGAAAATACATTCATATTCAATTTGAAGATGTTTGCTGAGTGTATGAGAAGTGAATAAAGCACTTGGGTGATCCAAAGATCATGGTTCCCACACCCAGGAAGCTAAGGATATGGGAGGGGGAGTTGTATACATACAGGGATTATCAAGATGAAATGTGGTAAGAAGCACACTGGAAAGCAGAGAATGGGAATTCAGAAGAAAAGGAGATCATTCATGAATGGAAGTTCTACAAAGACTTCATGAAAGCATTACTGTAAAATCATCCTAAAATTGGTTCCTTCTCACTTCTCTTTTTATGAGCATTGTTGAGTCATTTCATCTGAAAAGTTCAATGCAGCACTATGGCCTTTCCCCAAGAGACCTGCTCTCCTTACCCCACTCCCTATGAGATTCCTATACTTCCCACTACACACATATACACATACAGATACATACACACACACACACACACACACACACATACACACACACACACACACACAAAAAAAAAACCTCTCAACTCAACCAATTTACAAATTCTCTTGGTTGAGAACCTTGGTTCTGCCAGCTTTTAGTGTTACCTGCAGGAAAACCCCATGATGAAGTTTAGATCCCAGGGGAGACTGCAACTTTTATCCTTAGAGCTGAGATGGATCATCACCTGGCAATGCTCCAATCTCTGCATCTCTTTCAAAATTTGCACACCTGCCACTAGGAAGCAGAGCACATGCAGTCTATAAATTCCTATTTAGAAATCATGCCTGTTTACTTCTGTGTTTCCATAGAACAATGAAGAAGAAAGTGCCATCTCAAGGTCCCAAATGAGACAGAAGGGTCAGCGGTCATTGCAGACCACCATTTTGGTCCTGAACAAAGAAATAAAAAGGTCCAAATAGATACCTCCACCTCCCCTTTGCAGACAACCACTCATGTCCCAGAGTAGAATAAGGGGTGCCAGCTATGAATCCAAGGGTTGTTTGTGAAAAATTCCCATGTTAGGAAGAGGACAGGACCAGCCCTGCTAATGTCTAAATGATGTTTGGCCCTGAATTGGTGAGTGAATAGAGAGAGAGGAAAACCTTTCTGGCCAGGCTCAGAATGTTGTAATGTGTCTCATTAAAATTAAAACACAATGAAAAAATCCAAGGACAGCCTTGTCAATTTTAGCAAACCATTTCCCCAAATTTTTTCTGCCTATGCCTGAGCATTTAGAGTTAATATAGGATCCCTGGACTAGGTATAGGATCTTCACACACCCTCAGAAAGGGCCCTTAGACTCCAGCTAAAACAGGGAAGCTTATAATGCACAAAATAAAAATCTAACATCTTTTGCCCTCTGTGATACATGTGCTATTCTAGCATTAAGGTGAAAAATCATTTGGTTTAGCTCCCTTACACTCTAGCTTCTGGGATGATGTCAGCCTTACTGGTTTAGTATGCAACTTTAAAATGCTTGCAGGCATCAGAGTTGATGACTCCTTTCCTCTGTTATGTGCACCATAAGTAAGCAACAGAGGTCTTAACATCATGCACAGTACCTAGTGCTGCACTCGGAAGTGAGATGACTCTGTCCAAATCATTGCCACTGTTGCAACCAAAGTTAGGAGTGCCTGAGTCAGATCGTCCTGACAATCTTTTCTTAGCTCTGCCCATTCCTGGGCAACAAGAAGAGAAGATCTGAAGGAGAAAGAATGTTGGGAAAAAGAAGCACACTGAGCGTGGGGGAGGGGAGTTGCATACTGAACCAATAAGGCTGACATCACTCAGCCTGGTATGCGATTGTCAACCTTTTATGCTTACTGAACCCCAAACAACACACAAAATTATCCCAACCCACCTGAGGCATGGAACACACACCCAGGAGAAGCAGCAGAGAAAATACATTTTTAGTAGGAAAGATGAAAAGGAGTTTCTCAAATTGGATCAGTTGGTTAGGAATCTCTGGCTTTAAGAGAGAAGTGGCTTATGAGTTAATTTTGAGGCTATAAGCCTCAGAGCTTTCCGGTTATTTGTTTTAATCCCAGCTATTCACAGAATGCCCCTTGCGTCTTGCTATCTCCTCATCTAATACCAAATGTCTGTCTAGCACCTACTGCCAGTGCCCCTATAGGTGACAACTTGAAGAGCCCACAGAAAAAGTGGGTCAGCTACTAAGTTGGAACGCATTGTGTCAGCTCACAAACCTGTTACTGAACCACTCATATCAGCCAAAAGTCAAAGAAAGTCCTGTAGGTAACATTTATATTTGATGCTCCAAATTGGACACTTGTGTAGTAGGTAGAATGGCAATTTATGGGGTTTTTTTTCCTAATACAAGGAATTTTTTGTCTATTAAAATTTTCTAGGGGCTGGGAATGTAGCTCACTGGTAGAGCACATGCCTAGCCAGTATGTAGGAGGTCCTGAGTTTGATCTCCAGCACTGAAAGCAAAACAAAACAAAAACAACTATGGTGTCACTACAAAAGGAAGAGAACTTTCACCTCTGGCTATAATGGAGAAACTAGTACCAGACTAATTCCCCTTCAGTAAATATAAATTTGAACAAAATCTATGAAGCAACTGCTTTCAGACATTGGACCACGGGTAACATGGAGCTGGGTTCTCAGAAAGACAGGGAACACAAGAGGTTTTCACACAATAACCTTGGTGTTTTGCCAGGAAACATTTTCTGGAACACAGGCAAAGAGGGAGCGTGGCAAACAGAGCATGGCAATCTCACTGACTAGTGGCAGAATTAGAATTCAGGGGTGCTGAGGGGGCTGGAATTTGCAAGTGAAGTGACCCATAGAAAAGGACGTAAAAATATTTCTAGAAGTTAGCACGGGGGTCTCCTTGAATCATCAGCTGCACACAGGCAGGCAAATACCAGTAGAGAGGCCTGGCACACAACATTTCGTAGACAGTATGAGCTGAATGGAGATTCTGCAGGTCACACAGTGCCGAGAAATACAGCAATCCTGATCAGCCAAAGGAAACAGACCTCACTGATCATCACCTGAACATCCAACTGAGGCTCAAAAAATACTGCTCTAGACCCAGACCTAGATCTAGCCTAACTAAGCTTATTAAAATTAAATGAAATCAAGTTGATAGACCAGAAGTTAATGGCCTAGGAAAACAGAAGCTGACCTTCTTATAAAAAAATTCAAACTATCAATATCATAATATCATAATGTCTAACATATAATCGTAAATTATTCTATATGCAAGTAAACAAGAAAATGTGACCCATTATCAAGGGGAAAATATCAACAGAAACAGATCTGGAGATAACAGAAATGTTGAAAATAACAAGAAAGACTGTAAAACAACTGATACAGACATTTAAGGATTCAAAGGAAAAGATTAACATAATGAGTAAACAGATAGTAATGAATGACTACTACTCAAAAAAGGAGCAAATGGAAGCTCTAAAATATATGAAATATGAAAATAAAACAACTCATTGTGTATGGACTTAAGAGTAAAGAAGGCACTGCAGGAAATAAAAAGATCAGTGAGCCTTATAGTATATCAGTGAGCCATATAGAAATTATCCAAACTAAAAGCACACAGAGAAAAAAGAATTTTTTATTATTTTTTTAATTGAAAACCAGAGACTCAGTGGTCTTTGGGGCAAAACCAAGAGAGTTTAATATGTATGTAACTGGATTATCAAAAGAAGAAATCGAAATGGAGGCAAAAATATTTCAGAAATAGTGGCTAAATTTTTTTCCAATTAAAACTGCAGTAAATACCTCAAAAGGTCTAAAACATTTGAAGTAAATTTTCTGCTTTATAAGAATGGTGAACTAAAGATAGCCACAAATGTGTGTCATTATCTCCATCAAGTAGTGGGATTTGAGGGCTGGGGTTGTAGCTCARTGGTAGAGCACCTGCCTAGCACGTGTGAGGCACTAGGTTCAATTCTCAGCACCGCATATAAATAAACAAAATAAAGGTCCATTGATAACTTTTAAAAAATAGTTTTTTTTAAAAAAGTGGGATTGCCAGATACAGTGGGACACACCCCAAGACCAGCAATTTAGTAGGCTGAGGCAGGAGGATTTAGTAGGCTGAGGCAGGAGTTTCTGGCCAGCCTGCATAACTTAGCAAGACTCCATCTCAAAATAAAAAATAAAAAGGGCTGGGGATGTAGCTTAGTGGTAGAGCAACGCTGGGTTCAATCTATAGTAGCACAATAAATATTTGTTTTTACTTCCCCTCCTTGTGAATCTAGGCTGGTCCTGTGCCATTATAATATGGTAGCAATTATACTATGTCATTTAGATTAGGCACTATTTCAATTAAGCTGTACTACTCTGAGTGAATTACTAAATTTCCCTGAGTCTTGATTTTCTCATATCCAACAGGGAAACACAGGGCTAAATTTAGTCTGAGATTCTGTTCAGCTTTTAAAAAGTCTATATTCTAAGAGTAGTTATATATTGGGCCAATAAATAAAAATAAGTCAGGAGGATATGTCAGAGTATCACCCTGTAATTACTTGGCAGCTCAAAATCTAAATATCTTAGCCAAAATATTCCTGGGCCTTCTACATCTATTGCCAAAATAGATGTAGAAGGCCAAAATACATCTAGGCCAAAATACACTTAGATATTTGGTTAGAGTGTTGTTCTTTTTATGGTATACCAATCTCTGGCCTATAAGCTAAAGATTCTACAGTAATTGGATCCTATCAGTGTATCAGTAAAATAAAGAAGATTTAAGACACAGCAAATAGTCACATTATTTTTTTTTTCTTTTGCAGGGCTTTAGTAGTAAATAGACTTAAATAAGTGTGAGGTGTCTGGTAGAGAAAATATCTGATGAGATTTTTGATAAGCTTTGATTCGATGAAAATCTTCTGTCATCTCTGCCAGTTCTAATACATATCATTGCCATAGTTCTAAAACTACAAATGCCAGAGAAAACAGATGCCCTGAATTTCATCCTTTTGGGAAATAGCTTCTGGTACCCCCTTCAGGGTGTGAAATGGCAAGAGCACTTCTCTCCAACACAAATTTCCAGCATGCCTGGCTGCATAGAATGAGAAGCCCCAGGCAGCAAGATTTGCGCCAAGGACATATGGCAGGGGATTCGTTAGGGATGAAGATTCAATTTGACAGTCCTTTTTTTTCACTGTTAGTCATTTTGGTTTTTGAAATGACCAGAAAGACTAGTTACAGAATTATTGTTTTTTTGTTTTTTTTTTTAAGAAAGCTGACCTTGCTTATAGTTTTGGGCAAAGTTCAAATGTTTTTCATTTAATGATGAACTCTAGAAATTGTGACTAGCGATGTAACAAGACGTCTAGAGACCAAGATCCTGAAAATCTGGCTGTCAGAAAAGGGCCTTGCCCCCGTCACAGGGCCCTAGAATAACTGGGACCACCCTCCATGCCAAAGACACAGCTCCGATTGGAGAGGTCCTAACAGACTTCCTAAACGACAAAAACCTCCTTTGGTCCTCCTGTGAGAGCAAGGAAGCCACTCCTGAGGGCCAGTAAGAATCCCATGCCCACCCTGACTTAGTTCTAAGTCTCTGTGCAAGCAAAGCCTGGAGTGCCCTTGTCACACAACTTTGCTTTACCCAAGCAGAGATAAATGGCAACTGAATTTTGAATTTCAGTCTCTGATCTTTCATAACAAACTATTGCATGCCCACCAAGCGCAAAGGAAACACACACACACAAAAAAAAAGTTCTTTGAATGTTACAAAGAAGAACCAGACCTTGATTCTCTCCTGTGACAGCTTCTGATCTAGTAGGGAATCGAGACATTTATCTAAATGATGGTAATGAAGCTTTATAGCTGCCATATGTCCCCATAGACAGAAGAAGTCTGTATCAAACTCCTAAAAGTTCAGAGCTGGATTAAATAAGAGTGAATAGAGAAGGTTTCACAGAGAACCCCTTTTCTTCCAATTCTCCGCTTTCCACAGCATTAGAGCTGATATTGTTTTTTAACTGGATCAAGGAAAAATGGGCAGAAATTACGTAAGTGCAAACAAAGGGTCAAGGATCTCCAGGCTGTGAGATGACTGGGCATGAGTAAAGACAGAGAGGAAGGAAATCATAGGTTAGGAACAGCAAAGAGTCCTAGTGTTTGAAGTTCAGTAGGTCCTCAGAGGAAGACAGAGAAGCAAGAGTTGGATCTGTGGGGAGGCCTGGATGGCAGCCAGCTAGGTGCAGGGTTTACTCTGCTAACCACCAACAGAGAATTGTTTAAATCAGAAAAAAAGTCAAATTCGAGCCATTATTTTAGAAAATCAGTCTTCTAGCAGAGAAAGAACTAGGGAAGAAGGGGACAAAGGTTCGGAGACTAATTAAACAGAGCATCCAGGGCTGCATGTGGGACCCTTTTCACATGCCATCAGTCTCCACTTCCATGACACAAACAGATCACACATGCACATTCAAGAGTATAATATGGTCACTCCCACCTCTTTCTCTCTCCAATGCCCACTTAGAAGAGGCAGAACAATGAGTCCAAGTTTTCTGAAGACAGTCATGGCCTATACCTATAGTCCCAGTGAAAGTATTAATAGTCCCCCATTCACTCTCAAAAGAATCCTGGCTTGGACAGTCAATTTGGCATGTATCTGACTTAGAAATGACTCTTTCCCTTCTGCTTCTCTGCAGGCCCTCCTAGGTGTCAGGAATCCATTGCTGATTCATGCCATTTGCATGGTGGATGACACAGTCAGTTTCTCTCCCTCCCCATTGTTGCCAGGTAACCAGATCCTTCAGGCTTTGGAACTTCTACCTGGTTCCTCAGCTCTAGGACAGGAGGCAGAGCAGGATGCAGCTCTGAATGAAAAGTCCCTGGTGGTTGGGGAGTGGTGGCCAGGATGGGGCAGGGGTTCCGAAGAAGACACGGACTCTTAAGCCGAGAGCAGGTTGAGATGGAGGACAAAGACTCTCCAGTTGTTGATGAGTAAGATTCCAGACCTTCATCTTTTCTCATCTACAAGTGTCAGTGGGCGTGTGAAGATGATGAAAGGGTACATTGTTTCAGGAAAAGAAAAAAATATAGCTTGACTGCATGAAAGTAATACTAATTATAGTCATTTATTTGAGCATCACATAAACCATTTGTCCCTAATTACAATGCCATCCAAGAACAAATATGTAAATCATGAAAGGTGCCAGATCAGTCTTATTGTAGCTTTATTTGATTATAAC